AGCTGCCTGCGGTATCTCCTGCTGCACTCCAGACCTCTCCCCGGGGTCCTTCGGTGCTCCCCTCACCCCTCAAGGCTCTGATCTACCGCACCTATTCAGCCTTTAACCGGCCTGCTAACCCCGGCAGAGCCTCCCAGGAGTGCCCTGTGCTGGTGGAACGATGCAGTCCAAACCGGGGCAGGAGGTGGGATGCTGGCCCGGTGTGGCCACGGCCCCCTCTCTGTCTTCCTCCCGGTCTCCATCCCTCTCCCCTCCTGCTCCCCTGCTTCGGCCTGGTCTCTGTGCTCTGTGGTGCCTTTGTCTCACTGGCTTTTCCCTCCAGATCCCTGTGGGCCTGGCCTCAGCATGCATCTTTTTCTTCCTGGGCTCTTCCTAGCGGAGCTCTCCTCTTCCCTCCTCACACCTCTCTCTACTTTCTCTCCCTGATCTCCCTGCACTTCTGTGTGGGTGTCTGTCTCTGGCTCTATTTCTCAGCATCATTTGCACCTCGGTTGGCCTCCTGCTCGGCGTGTGTGAGTGTGCGCTCCTGCACGCGTGCGTGCAGCTCGGCTGTTCTTTGCCTGCCTCCGCGACGGCTGCTTAAGAGTTCACCATGTCTACGATGGTGTCTGAAGTCGGGGAGGGAGCAAGCTCTGAGCAGGCGGAGATTCACTTAAAAACACACAGAGAATCGCAGAATTGCGCGCTCGCCCCAGATTGGAGCTGCCAGGATTTGACGGTGCAACGGGAGCAAGTCCGTTTTCACTCTCTGTCTGTGGTCAGGCCCGTCCTGGTTCCCCTCCCGCCTGGCTCCCCAAGGCCCACCTTCTCACCCCGCAGTGAGCGGATTCCCTGCATTTCTGCCCGGTGCTGGTTTTATTTCCTGGAAGTGGGCACAGGTGCAGGGATGGGACTGAAATTTCACCCCAGTTCAGGGCAGGCTGCGCTCTGTGGCGTAGACGGTGAAGGCCAGGCGGCCAGGACCTTGGAGGGGGGTGCGCTTGGGCTTGTGCATAGGCTACCTGCTAGCCACTTGTGTGGGTCCTTGGCACCTTCCTGACACTCCAGGACACACCAATACCTCATCCCCTCCTTTCGGCATAAGGCCACTAGGACACTTCCACCCTCTCTTGACGGAACGGTTGCACCCTGTCTGAGGTCTGCACCTCACTGCTCACTTCCTAGGCTTTCTCCTCCACTCCCTCACATCCCCTTGTTACCCGCCATCATTGCATTGGAACTTTCCAGACCTGCTTCCCTACCCTTCAGCTCTGCTCTACATCCCTTTTTCCAGGGAGCTTCCCAGGACCAACTCCAGTTCCTGCCCCCAGCACCTTTCCTCCTCTCACTGGGGGGAAGATGCTGTCCCCTTCACCCTCCTGGCCTCCTCTGCCCCTGCTGAAGTCTGTGGGCCTCACCTGGGGGTAGGGCATGCTCTGTCTCCTCTTCTCGGTGGTGGTGTTGCAAGGCCGGACTGTTTGCGGTTTGCTCACTCTCACTCCTCTGCAGATTTATTCAGAACCTCTGTGGTGTGCCCAGCAGCCAGGCCCTGTGCCCGGTGATGGGTCTCGGGCTATGAGTGACACAGTCCAGACTCCAAGAGTTGCCTCTGGGTCTGGGCAGGGAGGGGGCGGCCGCTGCCCTGCAGCGTGGTCCCTGCTACAGCAGAAGAGAGAAGTGAGTACCACGTACTCCGAGGGAATGCACGCAAGTCATGGAAGACTTCCCAGAGGAGGTGCCTGTTTGAATCCGAGGGAGGGGGAGGGAGAAGTGTTCCTCTCACGGAACCTGTGCAAGAATGGAAGGGGTGACAGAAGCCTGGCATGTGCAGAGTAGATAGAACAGGACTTGGCGAGCAGACTTTCGGATTTCCGCTAATCGTGAACCAGGCTGGCATAGCCTGGGGGCATCTGGACGCTATCTCAGGTGCCGTCTTGCCTGCAGGGGCCGTTTTGGGACCAGAAAACATTGCCTGTGACTTTTGCGGGTTCAGGATCTAGGCTGCCTTTCCATCAAGTTAAATTGCCAAGACCCCTTCGTTTCCCCTCCTCTAGGGACTCTCTACAGGGTCATTGCTTCCATCTCCCCGTCTCTGGACTAAGTGGCTTCAAACAGGCCTAAACAAAGGGAAAATTTGACTTCAAAATCCCCAGAAAGACATAACCACCTTCTTTGGCATGTCTGTGCTCAGGTTTCTGGCTGTCCCTCCAGTTGTCCAACTGCGCAGGGTAAATAGTGATCATAACTACCGTTTAGTGGGTACATGCGAGGGACTGTACCGGGCATCGTGCTCACCTCATCTCGTTTGGCTTTCACAGCAACTGGGAAGCAGGCGTTACCATCCCCCAGATTACCAAGCAGGAAAATGAAGCTTAGAGAGTAAGTAGCTTGGCCAAGGTCACTCGGCTGAGAAGCCACACAGGCAGACTGTAAACCTCAGTCTGTCTCCTAAACCTGTGCTCTTATATTCGAGCAGGGAGGGATCTGCCGTCCTTGGTCCAGGCTTGTCATTGTGCAGGTGAGCAAATGGAGGCCAGATGAGGAGGTGACATGCCCAGGGTCACACCACTCCTCACTCCAGCAAGCTCCCCATCTCCCGACTCTGACTCCAAGTGCCTCCCACCTCCACCCTGCCGCGGGGCCAGTCACCTCCTGACTCCACGTAGACATGGAGCCAGCTGCTCACTGTCCTCTGGGGACATCAGCAGGAGACCAGGATGTCCAGGCCCCGTGCAGGAAAGCTATGAATATAAATTCCATCTCTGAGCCAGAGCTCACCAGCCGCCCCACTCTCAAGCCCTTGACTTGGGCTCCGGGGGCTGTGGGAAGGAGAAACGTGAGTGTGCAGAGTTTGCTGCATGTAGCTGCACTAGAGAAATGCGCAAGGATATGAATAAATTTGAATAATAATGAAGGCAATGCCTGAATTAATAATGCTGGCTGCTCACCTGACCCACCCCTCTCCCAGGATCTCAGCACCTGCCACCCTAATCCTTCAGAATGTGTGTGAGCCTTACCCTTTTCTCCTTTAGAAGATGTGAATGGGAGATCGGGTCAGCAGAGTTTGGGGAGACCCTCATAGAGGATGGGAGAGGGACGCTGTTTCTAACTTCCTGGCCCCTGCAGACCCAAAGAGCTGTACCTGCACACTTAAAGTAAGGGGGCTGCCTATACTGTATCATATCCTGGCCACCAGTCCGCTCCTGGCCCCTGCCACCTCTTTTTCAGGCCCCTTTGTGTGCAGCATCCAATGTGGATGGATGTCAGATGTCCAAAGGGAGGAGAGATCATGACTCTCGGTCTTAGAGGAGAAGTTCCTATTCTGGTATAACAGGGCAAACACCTACCTACCGGCTACGCTTTACCCTGTGACAAGCAAAAACATGGGCATAAGCTCTGATAACTTGAAAGAGGACAGCAAAGCTGGGTAATGGGACCAATTGTGTTTGCCCAAGGGGCCAAGGGATCAGCCTAAGAGGGCTTCCTGGAAGAGGGGGATGTGGGGCCAGTTTGGAAAGAAGGGGAGAAATGGGGCTGGAGGAGAAAAATGAAAGGAGGGATGAGACTAGGATCTGTTATCGCTTAGAGGGAGATCTTGGAATGGGGAGGGGTGAGTTAAGTTTGCTTACACACAGTAGCGATGTCAGGTTGGAGAAATTTTGGAAAGGGTTGGATTTGGGGATTTGGCCTCTGCAAAGGCTCCTGAGCTAGGGACTGAAAGAAGAGGGAGGAGACCCTGAGTTCTGGGGAGAGCTGATCTTGGTTACCTGGTGTGACAGGTTGGGGGTGTGGCAAGGGAGCCCAGACCTCTCCCTTTGCTGACCCCTGGTTTCTCAGTTGCCCCTCCTCTCCTTTCCCACAGCCTGGCAAAGGAAGCTGAGCCCACAGCTCCTGTAGCTCTGCAGGGAGTCTAGGCCTGCCCCACCACTGGGGCTGACCAGTGCTGGTTGGAGCGGGTGGGTGGGAGTGGTGGGGGAGAAGAAACCCGCAATGCAATTCCCTGCTCCATTTAGGCTCCACAATTAAAGGCAATTACTCTGCAGTTCTCTAATCAAATGCTCCCGGCCGAGCTGCCAGCCGGGCAGCCATGTGTAGCTCCCACAGCCGGAGGGAGAGTGGAACAGAGTCACATGGCCTCTCAGCTCCCACCGTGCTAGTGTGGGAGGCGGGGGGTGTGCAGGTGTGTCCGTGTGTATGCACTCACGCCCCCAGCACTTGGGAGCAAGGAGTAAACACACCGAGCAGTGCCAGTGTGCCAAGAGGTGCATTCAGAGACACTTGGTTTTGGATACACTCCCACCCAGGAAGCTTCTGTACACATGTGCAGACGCGTGGACGTGCCTGCCCCATAAAATCTATGCACTTGCTGGATGCATTCAAGGGAGAATTGTGTACCTGGCATAGCTGCACGCATGTGGTGGCTCATGTTGGCTCCCATTGGGTCACATGACACATGTCCAGCTAGGGGTCATGGTAGAATGCGCCCAACTCTCAAGGATTGAGGGGGGCTGCAGCATCACCAGCAGCCATTGTTATGAATGCACCACCCGTTAACATGGGTGTCGGGGTGAGGCAGCGGGTGGTGGAGGAACAGCCCAGGCCCTGGGGAGCAGGGGCTCGGGCTCTCAGCCCAGCTCTGCCAGTAACTCACTGGGTGCCCTTGGATAAGTTACTCTTCCCCCTGGACCTCAAGGTCCTCCTCTGTCAAATGAGAGGGTTGGACTAGACCCACCTCTGAAACGTTTATGTAACACCGCACCCCTTTCAACCATTGCCAAGCACTTCAGCTCCTGAAACCCATTCCTGTGGGCCATGGAGGGGAAAGGAATAAAGGGCGAGCACGTGACATCTTGGAGGGAAGGGGTTGAGTCTGAAGTGGAGCAGACACCCGAGAGTCCCCCTCCCCAGCCTGAGGTTGTCTCCCTCCTGCCTCCTACAGAGTGTCTGTTGAGGGGGGTGGCCTCTTGGAGGACCCCTCTCCTCACTCATCTCCTTACCCAGTGCTGCCTTCGGCTTTGCAGGGACCCAGACCCGCTTCAGCCAGGAGCCAGCCGACCAGACTGTGGTGGCCGGACAGCGGGCCGTGCTCCCCTGTGTGCTGCTCAACTACTCTGGGATTGTGCAATGGACCAAGGACGGGCTGGCCCTGGGCATGGGCCAGGGCCTCAAAGGTGAGTGCAGCCGCCCAGCGTCCCAACTGTCTCATCTCAGCACCTTTTCCCACTCCCAGTGTAGATTTCTGGACTTACCATCCCTTAGTGTCCTCACCACCCTCCTTGATGCTCCAGCCTCCCCCTCCCTGTCCTCCCCAGCTCCGTCTCCACCGCTTTCCCAGCCCACAGCTCTGCCTTTTCTCCCACTGCGGACTGGCTCGAGGAAGGCAGCACGATGCCAGAGAGGCCAAGGGAAACCAAGAGACCTTTACATAAGAGAGCTTCAGACAGACAGACGGACACCCCGAGGGGTGCTGCAGGCAGAGGAGGCGCTGGGAGTCTCCAGCGGCAAGGGGAAGGAGAGAGCACGGGCAATTTCTGTGTCCTGCAAGTGTCTTATGCCTGGCTGGCTCTGCTCCAGCCTCTCTCCTCCCCCCGTACGGGTGATGTCTGCTCAGAGGCCAAAAACTCATTTTAATATCAGCCCGAGCACTCATTTATTTATTCATTCAACAAGCCTTTATTAAGCACTGGTATGTAGCTGGTGCTGAAGCAAATGTAATGAGTCAGTCAAAAAAAAACAAAAACAGCCTCCCGTATTCTAAAGCAAGTAAAGAGACCTTTGGAAAGGCCACCTGGCAGGGTGGATGCGGGGTCGGGACGGCTGAGTTCTAGTCCTGCCTCCGCCGCCTGCCAGCTGGGTGACCTCAGGAAGGCCACTGCACCTCTCTGGGCCTTAGTGTACTGACGTGTGAAACAGGCATGGTAGTTGCAGGCCTGCCTGCCTTGACAGTGCATTTGTGAGTTTTGGACCCCATGAGAAAATGTGCGTTGTGAAAACACATCGTTAGCTGTAAAGCACAGTGATGATGTCAGTATGGGAGGGGGCTGTGTATTTCCATTCTCATTATTGTTGAGGAGGTTGAGATTATTTGCTGTGGGCTCCATGTGTTAGCACAGGTGGGGGAAATTTGTCTGTGTAGAGCAATCTGTATAAAGGAAAGCGATGGGTCTGGTGCATCCATTGATGATAGAAAGAGAAAGAAACTGGGAGAGAGACATCAATAGATATGGAGTGAGAAGAATCGATAGCCTCTGGACAGAGGGAGATAATGGGAGGCGGCCATGGTGGGGAACAGGAGAGGGGAGGGCAGGGGAGTGGGAGGGGGGTGGCAGCCTGAGGGAGGGAGGGCAAGGGAGGCTGAATTGGAGACCCCCAACCCCGCCTCAGCCACCACAGGAAACCAGGACTCTGGTTTAGGGGCTTGTTGGGCAGCTGGCGGGGCCCTGCCTCATCCACCCTCCCATGGCGCAGGGGCGAGGCCTCGACCTGCCTCCGGCTTCCCTCTGCCTCGCAAGTCCCGCAGAAGTGGCCCCAGTGAGCTCACGTCTGTGCTGCGATGCCCTATATTTCCTGGCGCCCACATGCTCTCCCTCTCTCCCCCTCTCCTTTTCTCCCTGCTGTCTGCCTTTTTTTCCCTCCTCTTTCTTTCCTATTGTTATGAGAGACATTTGTCTGCAAACAGCTTCAGAGATTTCCTCTGCTCCTGCTCCCCTCTCCGCCTCTGCCCTCCTCCTGTCCGCTCCTCCAGCTCTGTGGCTCCCAGCCTCGCCACGGGGGTCCTGACAACAGGCGCCTGTGTTGGGGACCTCACCCTCTCCCCTGACAGTGGCGTCCAGGACAGGGCAGAGGAAGGAATGCTGGTCTGGGTGTGTGCGGGCCCTGGCAGGGGACGAGGAGTGGGCAGAGGAGTGTCCTTAGGGTCAGGGCCGTCCTGGTTCCAAGGTCGGGGTTCACCCTGGGCCTCGCCCTTTCTGTTTCTGCAGCCTGGCCGCGGTACCGGGTCGTGGGCTCCGCGGACGCCGGGCAGTACAACCTGGAGATCACGGATGCCGAGCTCTCTGACGACGCCTCCTACGAGTGCCAGGCCACGGAGGCCGCCCTGCGCTCCCGGAGGGCCAAGCTCACCGTGCTCAGTAATGACCCCAGGCCCCTCGGTGCCTCTCCGTGTCCTCGCAGCCTCTCCCGCTCTGCAGTTCCCTCTTCAGGGTCGCAGCTTCTCCTCTCTGTTGCTGGCCTCATCCCTGCCCCCACCGTCCCACTGTCCCTCATTTTCCCTCCCCAACTCCTTTAAACTCCCCCCAGAGCTAAGTCCAGGCAGAAGAGAGTAGAGCAGGGACGCTGGCAGGACGCACGGGCTGAGAGGCCTGGCGTCCTGTCTGCTCCAGCCTGCGCCCAGGCCACTCAAGGACAGGGCTCTCGGCTTCTGGACACAAAGCTGTGGGGACGAGGGAAGTGTGGGGTGATGGAAATGGGATTCTCCTGTCCCAGCTCTCCTGGCGGACAGGCTTGTTGGTGAGGGGGCCGCCCCCTTCTTCCTTCTGCCCCTCTGCTGCCCGAGAGCCCAGAAAGGGCCCCCTCGCTCCTTCTCCGCCTCCCCAGCCCTCCCTCCCTCCATCTGCCTCCTTTGCTCCCCCGGCCTCACCCTCCTCTCAGATTCACCTGGGGGGCTCCTGGGGAGCAGGGGTGCAGGGCTGGAAGGGACGGGCCTTGGGGCTGAGATCTGAGGGGCTGCGTCTGGATGGCTGCTGTGGGAGGCTGGCTCTCGGAAGCTAAGCGCCTGGCAGCCACCCGCTCACAGGGGGACTGAGCAGATGTCCCTCTATGGTAACCCCCGAGGCCATTTGCATAATGAGGGGACTCTCTCCTGCACACAGTGCCGGAATGAGGCCAGTGCCCGCAGGCCCCCTGCCCACCCGGCCGCCTCCGTCTCTCCCCAGGCCTTGCTCCCGCCTGCCTCTGGGTCCATCAGTCTTCTCGCCTCTCCCCGCCCTCTTGTCTCGCGGTGCACCTGCCTCTGTCGTGCTTTCTGTCTCCGGCTAGGACTCTGTCCGCCTGTGGCCCTCTGTCTTCCCTTTTGCCGTTGACTCTGTCTTTGTCTTTTATCCTGCCTCTTTTTCCTCCCTCTAACCTGGAATCACTGAAATGGGGGGAGATGCCGGGATGGATGGGAGGAAGGAGAGGAGCTGAGTGAGCCTGGACACACGGAAGTTTCATTCTGTGGGGGTGGGAGGTGAGAAAGTGACAAGCTGTCCTGGTGTAGCGGGAGGAGTCCTGGGCTGCTGGGGTCAGGAGACCTGGGCTCTGGATGCTCCCTGGCCATTTTGTCACCATGGCCAGGAAGAGGTGATGACCCCTGGGCATGGCTTTCCCCACTGGTAACATGGCACGATGACATCACCTTTTCTTAGCAACCGCTGCTCTGCTGCACAGGGACTTGTAAACTGTGAAAGTGGGCGGATGCGAGGCCTCAGAGAAAGTGAGGACTGGAGGGACCCAACGGCCGATTTCTTGGGCTGTACAGGCCCTGGAGGACTGGGATTCATGGCCAGTGCTTTTCCTCCCTAGGACTAAAATGGGAAGAATTAGCAAGCAGCAGGATTGAGGTTAGAGAGCAAGAATTGGAGGGTGAACATGGGGTGCCAAGACACCGTCTTCCGTCCCTCACTGGGGGTGTCAGCGCCCATGCTGGACTAGGCACTCATCCCTTCTTCTTCCTCCCTAACTGCCTCTGTTTTGGACCCTGGAAGGTGCTACTTCTGCCCTGGAGAATGCTCATCCTAATGAGGGGATCTTGATACTCTTCTTTTCTCTCTCCTAACCCAGCACAGAGACAGAGAGATAGAAACAGATGAAGAGAGGCCAACTGAGCCCCTCAGTACTGCTGGAATAAGGGCTTATAATGGCATCCAGTGGCTTGGTCCATCCAGGAAGGCTTCCTGGAAGAGGAGAATGTCAATGGGAACTCTAGATGGGGGAGCACCTTGTTAAAAAGAGTGCAGGCCAATGAGGGAGAGCTGCAGGAGCAGGGGAGCCGACAGCCTTGTTGGGGGGGCATGGCGGGTATGGAGGTGCCGGCCTCACTGGCCTGCCTGGGGGGCTTGGATGGGTGAGAGGAGCAGGGAGAAGCCCCGAGAGTGATGGAGCTGAGAGGGAGGCGGAAGTCCAGCTGCTCTTGTCTTCTCACTCTCTCCTCCTTGTCTCTCTTTTGGACTCTCAAACACCCTGCCACCTGCAGCAGGTTGAGGCAGTAAGAAGGCATGACATTGTCTGTGTCCCTTCCTGCTTGCCCGCTTACCTATAGCCTTGGCTCATGGCAGCAGGGCCCAGAGACTGGGCAGGGCAGAAATGAGGAGTGGGCTGTGCCCAGTGGCTGGTAGCAGCCTCCCTGCACACCACCAGCCCTATAGCCTCACCTCCTCCCCAGCCATCCCCCCAAGTCCCTTGCTCCCCAGCTCCCCAGGCCAGCCTTCTTCACAGAATGGCCTCTCCCATTCCAACTTACAGTCCACAGACCTGCAGCCCCCTCATCATCCCTAGTGATAAACAACTCGAGGGCTGCGTGAGGAGCACAGCTTAGGGGTCTGGTGGGCCTGGCCCACACCCCAGCTCTGCCCTTTAGCTCACCCTCCTGCCTCTGAGCACATTCGCTTAACCTTCTTGAGCCCCAGCTCCTTATCTATAAATTGGGGTTAATAGTATTTACCACGAAAGGATTAATGAAATATACTTCGTGGTGCGGGTTAAATGAAAGCATGTACAGGTGGCACTTTGGCCAACGCAAGGTGAACATCCAGTGCACGGTAGAAATTATTGTCAGTCACGTCATAGTTTGCAGTTGGCTTCGCACTCTTCATTCTTGTTTCACTCCTACAATAACAACTCTAAGGAATAGGTGTCAGTGTTATTTTTGAAATTTTACAAACAAGGAAACTGAGGCCACAGGCACGAGGGCATACTGATATGCAAGTCATAACCTCTTGTTCATAAAGACATGCACATCTGGACTCATGACCTCTAACAGCTGGCTGAGCAGACACCTCAACAGCTTTATTTTCCTTTGCCCCAATACAGAGGGCAGGGATAGGCTCGTGGAGGATGGGCACAGAGTTTAGAAAACTGTAGAGCAAGGTAGGCTGGTGGCAGAGGTGACAGATGGATGGTCTTTGCCTGAACAAAGGGAACAGGAACACTACAAGGGCAGGGGAGACGGATGCCTTCCCCTCGGGGGGACACCGCGCGTCTGGGCACACATCTGGCATGGCGTCTCCTAAGGGCTGTGCCCACCCAGGACCTTAATCCTCGTGTGATCTCGGAGGGACCCAGGCAGACCAGGAGACCCTGCGTGGTGGCTCTTTATCCATCTCTCTCCACCTTTCTCTACTTCTGAAGCTGGTTCCCACCCCCATGCCCAAACCTGCACCCATCTGGCACTGGAACCAGATACACCCGGGATCTAGGAAGGAGGGGCCAGGATGCAGAGGATAATTAGCCTGGCCGAGTTGGAGTCACTGCTGGCTCTCGCCCCAGTAGTAAGCTGACGCATTCTGCCTGTGACAGTTTATACACAATGTCATATCCGACCTTCACAAGGCTCCAGTGAGTAGGCACTGTTCCGTCTCTGATGAAGAAACTAAGAATCAGTGACTTTAGGGACTCACCCAAGATCACACAACAGGTAAACAAGAGTGCCAGGATTTGAAACCAGGGCAGCTGAGTCTAAACTTCATTCTTTTCCCGCTATATCACTTGGCATGCATGAGTTGAACAGAATGCTAGCACCGGCTGCAAGGTTTCTCCCTACTAGAAACCCCAGCATGGAGACCTCCATTTCATAAACTTGAGGACAGCCCTGCCCACCACTGGGCTCCATGGGCCGCCCAGGGTCTCCTCTCTAGGGTTCCTTCTGGAAAGCTCCTTCTGAGTTTTTCTTTTCTTTCCCAGAAAGAGGCAAGCAAAAT